AACTGGCATTGTTTCTCTTAACTACTTTAAAGAGGTCCTTAACAGTCTATTTTTCCAATGCAAATTATCTTTTGATTTCTTGATTGCTAGCCATGAATATTGATTTTGAATCTAAGTAAAAAGAAATCATTGATAAACTCAATCTTTTTTATTTTTCCCCTTCTCTATCATGATGTTGTTACCCATGGTAGATAGTGTTTGGTTGAGCTCCCTGATTAAACAAGCTTGGAAGCAGGAGTAGCATCCACTTCTGGAATAGCTTGCCTCCAGAAACTATGAACTTGCAGAAATGATGAAAGTTATACAAGTGTTCAAGTCTTTCATTCATAGGGTCATTATGAGTCATCTATGATGCAATGGCACTTAACAATAACAACGAGAGAACTCTGTTGGCCTAGTGGATAGAAAGTGATGCTACCAAGACAAAGGTGGGTGATTTTAGTTTGCAACCCTCAGGCCTGGTTTTAATTGTTTTTGGTCAAACATTTTTCTAAGTGGTGTAGCACTGGTCTGTCCATTTGCTGTACAGAGGTAACTTGTGGTGCTGTGATGCTAAAGACTGCGACACTGATGTGTCAAAAGCAATAATGGTTACCCATGGTGGACATTGTTTAGTGAAGCTCCTTGATTATAACAAGCTTGGAGCAGGAGTGGCATCCACTTCTGAAATAGCTTGCCTCCAGAAACTCTATAAACTTGGAGAAACGATAGAAGTTATACAAGTGTTCAGGTCTTTCATTCATAGGGTCACTATGAGTTGTCTATGACAACAACAACAACAGCAACAACAAGAACAACATTATGATGTTACCTATTGGTCCAATGGTCAGGATTTTTGTCTTCTTGATGTTGAGATCTAATCTATATTAAAGGCTGTAGTCTTTGATCTTCTGCAGCAAATGTTTCAAGTCCTCATGTTCAGCTAGCAAGGTTGTGTTACCTGCATAATGGAGGTTGCTGATGGGCATTCCTCTAATCCTGATGCCACATTCTTCTTCCTATAGTCCAGCTTCTCGAATTATTTGCTTAATATCTAGATTGAATAGGTATGGTGGAAGGATACACCCCTGATATATACCTTTCTGATTTTAAACTATGCAGTGTTCTTTCATTTAGAAAACTTCTTGGTGTAGGTATAGATTTCTCATGAACACTTTAAATATTCTGAGAATTCCATTCTTCTCAATTTTAGCTATAATTTTACTAAGATCCACAAAGTCAAATGCCTTTGCATAGTCAATAGACTTCAGGTACACATCTTTCTCGTGTATGGATGGTCTTAACCAGGATCCATCTGACATCAATAATTATATTCCTCATTCCATACTGTCTCTTCTGAATCCAGCTAGAATTTCTGGCAGTTACCTATGTACTTTACCTAATGTACTGTTCCAACATTTTTGAATAATCTTCAGGAAGATTTTTCTTGCATGTGATATTAATGATATAGTTTAATAATTTTCACATTCTTTTATATTGTACTTCATGGGAATGGGAACAAATACAGATCACTGCCTGTCAGCTGGCTAGATTGCTGTCTTCCAAATTTTTGGCATATAATAGTGAGCACATTAAGGGATCACCTGTGTGTTGAAACATGTCACTTTATATTCCAACATGTTAACTGGTATCCCTTATAGAAGTCTTTAAATACTGAGTGAAATATCAGCTCTCTTTTAAGCTCAACTTGGAGAATAAATAAATAATCCAGGTTTGTTTCTGTTGAAAAATTTTAAATCAAATTCACAAATTTGAGTCTTTCTTTTTAAAAATCATCTTTAAGAAGTAGTTTTACCCCTTTCAGTAATTTTTTAGGATATTTTCAGAGTTTCAACTCAATCACCACTCCCCAATTTGAGTACTTTAGTATCCCAAAAGAAACCCCATTAGGAGGCACAAACTACCTCACCCATAGCCAAACATACCCTGATAATCTCTTGAAAGTCTACTTTCTACATATATATATTTGTCTATTCTATATATATATTCTATCATGGAAAAGTCCATCAATGTTGTAATATATATCAGCACTTCGTTCCTTTTAATGGGCAAATAATATTCCACAGTATGGATCAACTACATTTAGTTTATCTATTCATGAGTGGATAGACATTTATTTGCATTGTTTTATGTTTCTGGCCATTTAAATAATGTTGCTTAGAACATATGTGTGAAAATTTTTGTATGGAAATGTGTTCCCAGGTCTCTTGTGTATATAATGTAAAAAATGAAATAGCTGGGTCATATGACAGTTTAATGTTTTACTTTTTTTAAGAAGCTGCTAAAAGCTTTCCAGAGTGCCTGCACTGTTTTACATTGACATTGTATAAGGGTTCAAATTTTTTCACTTCCAAGAGAGAACTTGTTATGGTCTTTTTTTACTTGTAGCTACTCCATTGGTTCGAAGTGGTATCTGATTATGGTTTTAATTTGCATTTATCTGATGAATAATGATATTGGTTACATGTTCGATCAATTTCATACTGAAAAGGTTGGTAGAAATCCTTAATTTCTTTATCTTTGGCAGTAGTAGTTGGTGCATTTGAAGTTTGTCTTCCAGAAAATGAACTAGATCTTGAGATTTGAAATTAGCCTGGCATTCCCAGTCCCATAGCATACCTGGTGCCTGCTGTGGTATTTGACCTATTCTGGGTCAGGTGGCATTTTGTGGCTCACTCTTCTGAATAGAAGAATCTAATTTACTCTTTAAATATTCTTTTTAGAATGAGAGTGGTCACTTTCTTCAGGTTTTTCTAAGTTTAGATAAGGAAAGCATACCTTCCCTACTCCTGAAATGCAGTCCATGTTGTTAACAGACTTATAGATGTTATTTCCCCCTACTGATCCATGTTTTGGTGAGCTACGCTACCATGCTTATATATGGGGTGTTTATTGCCATTTTGTTTTATAGAGTTATGGGTCTTGGGTTTTTTCCCCTTTTAACTATGTTTTGTTCCTTAGCTAGTTCTTCACAAATTAAAAAAAAAAGCTCTCATAATGTTCTTTTTGTTTATTTAATTAGTGAACTTAATTCAAGGATTAGCACTGGATCATAGCTTTGTGTTTTCAGAACCAATTTTCAGTCAAAATCACATGGAGCACATTTTTTTTCCTCTTAATGAAATTTGACAAATTAAGTACATTTTCTTCTTCTCCTACCAGTTTTTGATTGGATAGTTCCCTTATGCCAGATGCAGTCTGCTTTGCTTTTCTGGTTTTTTTTTTTCTTTTCTGGCTTTTGTCTGCATTTCTTGGTTTTGTAAATTTAAAACTCTAACTTCCAATGTTGCACTGGTCCAGTTTTGTGCCTAGCTAGCTGTTTTCAGCATCTTGAACTTGATTTGTTGCCTCTGTGTGAGTATGAGCTTGTGGTGGCTGCTCGGAGATCTGGCTTTCACAGATCTTTACCTCACCTAAGACAGGGCTCACAGTGAAGTTGATATAGTTTTTTAGTCTGGGCAAATTAATAGTTTTGTTGGTTTCTGCCTTTTGATCAGGGTCCTGCTGACTTTTGATGAACACAATCAGTAATGTGAGCCAAGCACTCTTGGTTCTGGGCAGTTTTTCATGGAGGCACCGCACATGAGAACACACCTATTGTAATAGGTAGAAGTGTGAAAAAGTTATTTGGACTTGTTGAGGATATCTGCATTAAAGCTTCAGTGGCTTGGGTGGGTTGAATTTGACTAAAGACTTTCTTTGTTTGTGGTGACTTTGATATGGACAAAAGAGGGTTCTCTTTCACAGTTTTAGAATATAGTAGGCCATGAGTCCTAGACATTCTCCAAGTTTGGAACTCTAGTATATACTCAGATCTGTATAAGTCATTAAGGTTAGCCACTTTCATGTAGGGATTAATCTCATTTATCTTCCCTCTGAGTGCCTGAGGAGTTCTGGGGGCATAATCCATACTGAATTGTGCTACTAAGCCAAAGACTGGGTTTTTCTGGAAGTATGAATCTATCAGCAGCAACATGGGAGAAAGATAAGCAATCTCTTTATTTGTAATTTACAGCCTCTAAACATCCAATGGAGGGTTAGCTATGAGTGGGCTCCACCGTGAAGGTGATGAGCCGAGGAGAGTCGGAGGCCAGTGCTCCACAGCCTTTGAGCACATCCAGTATGTCTGCATGAACAGAGGGGTCCCGGGCCTCTTGCAGGTAACTACTGGCTTCAGTTGTTATTAGGTGCTATCGAGTTGAGGAGCCTTACATTGGCCTATGAACCACAGTTCTCTCTCCTGGGCGAGCCTCATCACCTTTCAACCCTAGACCCCATTGTTACGGTTATTGTGTCAGTCCACTCATTGAGCATCTTCTCCTCCTTCTTTAATCCTCCCCTTCTGTGAGCATGATATCTCTCCAAGACCTGGCCCTTCTAGCAACATGCCCAAACTATGTGAGAGGAAGTTTTACCATCCTTCCCTCTAAGGAGTACCCTGGTTCCATTCTCTCCAAGACATATTTGTTTATTCTTTTGGCAGCCCATTGGACTTTCAGTACTCTTCTCCAGCACTACAACTCAAAGGCATTGCTTATTCTTTAGTTAGGGCCACCACGATTTCAGGACCCAGGGCCGCATGACATTGAGGGAATCTCTCTAGAAGGCTACATACCTTGAGGACTTCCTCAGCACAGGTGGTTTCTGGAGAGATTCTTCTGGCATGTCTTTTCAGTATTGTGCCTCTATTGTCATCTGCCTTCATCATTATTTATTGTGCCTTTATGGTCCTTCCTTTCTGAAGTTTTGCCTTCAGGAACCTGGAGTCACCTCTGGCACTGCACCTTACTTCCAGAGGCTGTGTTGGTGTGGAAGGTCGATTGAGTGAAAGCTCTTAGGAAAATCATGACTCACACTTTGGCTTTTGAGCTAAAAACAATCATGTGATGGTGGAGCACACACCTGGTCCCAATGGCTAATTCCAAATGTAAAATTTATTACGTCTGACTTTCCTCTCTGGTCTCATTTAGTTTTTCTTCTTCTTTTTGTTTCCTTTAAAGGTTCGGACATTTGGGGAAAGGATTGTGCTTTTCATGTTAAATGTCGTTATTTTTGGAAGAGTGGAGAGAAATCTGGATGCTGATGACATGTTCTTTTTACCTCACTCTGTGATGGAGCAAGCTAAAATTTTGTGGAGAAATGGAGCAGCTGTTGGATTTTATACAATGAAAATGAAAGGTAATGCTGCATCTCAGGGACACCCCTATTTCAGCATTTGGGGGACACAAAGTTGGGGAGCTCTCTCCAGATGAATGTCTACCTTGAGAATTTATTTCCCCAACACAAGGGGCTTTTGGTGGGAATCTTCTGGCACCTTCACATTTCACTAATTAAACTTTCATGTAAATAAACTCCAGGTGTAGGTTTCACACCCACCCCTTTTCTTCTCTGACTGGCTAACAAGTGAAAGCCGGGTCTCTCTGATTGTTAAGCATTGCCATGTCCCACCTAAAACACTGCAGCTAATGGTGCAAAATGACTTTACATGCACCGTCCTTTTCATTTCTTCTCTTTAACCAATTAGCTGTCAGAAAAATTACCATTGCTAAGAGTTGACATGTGATATGAATGCTCATAGATGCCAAGTTTTATAGACATTACCTCAGAGGAGAGAGGGTTCAGCCATAATAACAAAGTTAGGTGAAGAGAATGTGGCATATTTTTAGGGACTGTCATGAGCAATAGTGCGGAACCAGTACTGGTTTACCAAAAGGATCAGTCTCTTCTTTAAACTTGCAGTCTTTAGTCTTCAACATCTCCTGATCCTAATCTCATCATTTGGTTCTTATAAAGGTCTAAATTTTAGTAAAAATATATTTCTCTCAGTCACCAAGGATATACTGTTTCCCGAGTTTAGCATTTTCTCAGGGGAGAAAGAGGAAGGTTTGCATTTTAGGCTATGCTCATATCTGCTCCATCTCTCCAGGACTGAATAAATTTGGATTTTTCACTTTTTTGGTTCAGTGTAACAGCACCAGTTTACCATCCAGACTGCGCCACTAGTTAATTATTTGCTATAATCAGTCACAGAGGCTTAAGAGCTTATGTCTTTTGGCGAATTTTGTCATGAGAGCCATCTGTCCTTTGGTTGTGATGTACTGTTTCACTTATTTTCATGCTTATGTCCCTTAGTCATTACTTTTAGATAGGCCAAGGGACCTGAAAGATCATTACAATGAAAGAGATGCTCTTTGTAGTTCCTCTTTCCTGGGAGATGCAGTAGTCATTTTCTATCAAATGTTACTTAAATCTCTACTGGAATTATTTGTGCCATTTGATCTTAGTTGCCATCAAATTGGCTTCAGTTCATAGTGAGCCCAGGTGTAAGAACCATGTGTTGTCTGATCCTTCTCCATCTTTATTGGTGGTAGTTCCGGTCTGTCATGGCCACTGTGTATTTTGAGTGCCTTCCAACTTAAGCTGCCCCTTGACCAATAATTTATGGGCCGATATTCTCTTTTGATCACTAGTTTTTGTTCATTTGTTTTTTTTTTTCCAATTCAACTTACAACTCATTAACAGCAATTACATGGTAGCTTTGCAGTCAAACTTTAGTAAATATGATTTTTCCATCATTGTAAATTGAACCTCAGTACTCCATAAACAGTAATTCTTCCTCTTTACTATCACCTGTTAACTCATGCAAGCTCTATGGCTGTCTAGTTGAAACCAGTTTACCCACCAGCAGATTTGTTGTTGTTGTTATGTGACATCAAGTTGACTATGACTTTTAATGACCCTATGAACAATAGCTCTGTACCCTACCGTATCCTGAGCCAACCTCACCATCTCTGACAAACTTGACCCCATTGTCACAGTCACTGTCAATCCATTTCATCTATGATTTTCCTCTCCTGCACTGACCCTTCCAAACATGATGCACTTCTCCAAGGACTGGCCCTTCCTGACAAGATACCCAAAGTATGTAAGATGGAGCTTCAAAATCTTTGCCTCTAAAGAGCAACCTGGTTTCACCCTGTCCTTGATAGACCTGTTTGTTCTCTTGGTAGGTAGTACATAGTATGGTCAATGCTTTTCTCCAGCACCACAACTTAAAGGCATTAGTTTTTCTGTTAGCCTTATTTCATCTGAAATGGATTACCATCTGAAAGATGGTAGTCCATCTTTCAGATGCATGGCAAGCAATGGAAAAGACATGGCCTGGATCAGATACACATTAGTCTCTAGGCTGACATCATTGCTCTCTAACACTCTGTTGTTGTTGTTGTTAATTACCGTCGAGTCAAGCATGACTCATAGTGACCCTATGAATAATAGACCTGAAGCCTTTCTGTTACTATCATTTCTCAAAGTTCATAGAGTTTCCAGAGGCATATTGTTTACGAAGTGGATGCCACTCCTGCTTTACTATTCTAGAGAGGTTAAAATCCAATAGCAGATTTTCCCAATGTAACGTGTCTTTTGGTTTCCTGACTGTTAGTGCCAAGTGTGTTGATTGTGATTTTGAGCAAAATGAAATCATTAACAACTTCTTTCATTTCTGCATCTATCATACTGCCTGTTGACCTACTGGTGAGGATCTTTGTTTTCTTACTGTTGAGCTGCAGTCTGTAGTGAATGTCTTGATCTGCTGCAGCAAGTGCTTCAAGCCCTCCTCACTTTTGGCTAACAAGGTTATGTCATCTGCGTAACGAGGTTGTTGATGAACCTTCCTCCAATCTTGATGCCACAGTCTTCATCATAAAGTCTAATCTCTCAAATGATCTGTGCAACATATAGATTTTTTAAAAAGTATGGAGAAAGGTTACATTCTCTGACACACTCACTTCTTTCTTGATTTGGAACCATGTAGTGTTCCCTTGCTCTGTTCAGACTACAGCTTCTTGGTCTAGGTAAAGGTTTCAAATGAGCACAATCAAATGCTCCAGGATTCCCATTCTTCCCAGTGTTAACCACAATTTTTTGTGGTCTACACGCAGTCAAATTCCTTTGCATAGTTGGTTAAACACAAATATATATTCTTCTGGTACTCTCTACTTTCAGACAGGATCCATTTACATAGGCAATGATTTCCTTATCCACCACGACCTCTTCAAAACCTAGCTTTCATTTTTGTTAGTTCTCTGTGGATGTACTCTCCTAGTAATATTTGGATAATCTTCAGCAAGATTATGCTTACATGTGATATTAATGATTGTTGTTGTGCACCAGGTAGTCAGAACTGACCATAGCTGACCCACTGGAGGTGGGTTTTTAGAGGCAGTAATTGCACACTAGGCCAACATTGTTTGATAATTTCCACATTCTGTTGGATCTTTTTAAAAATTTTTAAAAATTAATTTTAATGAACGTTTACAGAGACTTTGGATATTCATTCATTCATTTGTTGAATTTTTCCTCTCTGCCCACCCTTCTCCTGCAGTATGCACTTCTCTTTGAAAAGTAAAAGGAAAATTCTTTCTTTGGTATACAATTCCCTCCCCACCCCGCTTACCCCACACACAGCACACTCCACTATGTAGCCTTCGTTCTGGACTCTTTTCATGACCAAAATACCCAACACATATTGTTTTTAAGCAGTTCTTTCTCTCATCTGTTTCAATGCAGTATACATAATTTATCCAATCTTTCTCAGTCTCATCCAACCCTGATTTCAGTCCTGTTCCACAACAGTGGAACTATGCAGTGTTTGTCCTTTTGTGACTGAGATATTTCACTCAGCATAATATTTCATGAGTTCCGAGTTTTTCAACGCAGCATAGTATTCCATTGTGTGAATATACTAGAGCTTCTCTATCCATTCATTTGTTGATGGGCACTTAGGTTGTTTCCAACTCTTTGCTATTGTAAACAAAGCTACAATAAACATGGGTGTACATACATCTCTCTGGGTGGCAGTTATGGTTTCTTTGGGTTATATTCCAAGTAGTGGAATTTCTGGGTCAAACGGTATTCTATTTGCAACTTTTTGAGAGAGCGCTATATAGCCTTACATAGTGGTTGCACCATTTTGCACTCCCACCAACAGTGATTAAGTTTCTCCGCAACCTTGCCAGCATTTGATGTTTGCTGTTCTGTTAAATTTTGCAATTCTGACTGGGGTGAGATGATATCTCATAGTTATTTTAATTTGCATCTTTCTTAGAGCTAGGGATTTTGAACATTTGTTCATGTATTTGTTTGCCATCTGAATGTCTTCTTTGGTGAGGTAACTGTTCCCATATTTTCAGTTGGGTTATTTATCTTTTTGTGGTGCTCAAGTATTTTATAAATTTTAGGTATAAGTTCTTTATCTGACATGTCATTACCAAATACTTTTTCCTACTCTGTGGCTTCCCTTTTTACTCTGTTGGAGAAGTTTTTAGATGTGCATAGGGATTTGATTCTTAGAAGGTCCCATTCATCTATTTTATCCTCTCCTGGTTGTAGAATTTTCAGATGGATTGCAAGACTGTGTATGTTGTGGATTAGGACTTCTAGAGTTCTTCCAAGCTTTTCTTTAGTGACGTTTATAATCCTTGGTTTTAGTACTAGGTCCATGGTATACCTAGAGTTGGTTTTTTGTATATGGAGTGAGGTGTGGATCTTGCTTGAGTTTTCTACAGATAGTTTTCCAATTTTGCCAGCACCATTTGTTGAAAAGGCAGTTGTTTCCCCACTTAACTGATTTCATCTCTTTGTCAAAAATCAATTGACCACAGGTAGATGGACTGATTTCTGGATTTTCTATTCTATTCCATTGATCTATGTGTCTGTCATTATACCAGTACCGTGCTGCCTTGACCATCATGGCAGTGTAGTAGGATTTGAAACCAGGGAGTGGGATGCCTCCTACCTTGCTTCTATTTTAGAGGAGTGCTTTGCTTATTTGGGGTCTTTTTCCATTCCAAATTAAACTGGAGATTGCCTTTTCCATCTCAATGAAGAATTGAATCGGTATTTGTATTGAGATTGCATTGAACTTGTAAAGTGCCTTTGGTAGTATTGTAATTTACACAATATTGAATCTTCCTATCCATGAGCAAGGGATGTTTTCCCACTTCTCCAGGTCTCTTTTTGTTTCTTGTAGTAATGTTTTGAACTTTTCTCTGAATAGATATTTTTGTGTTTCTGGTTAGGTTTACTCCCAAGTATTTAATCTTGTGATTAGCTATTGTGAAATGTATTGTTTTTCTTAGCTCCAGTTCTGTATTTTCTTTGTCACTGTAAAGAAATCC